ACGGCACTCGACGCCGACTCGACGCCAATCGACGCTGAGCCGGGGCTATCTCATCGACAACCAGACGACAATCGACGCTTGTGCACTCTAAAGACGGAAATATACATAGATCAAAGATCCTATGATTTGCCACCGAATAAATCTGGTTCTGGACAACTCTGGCTTGGGCCTCCGAGGCACGAACTTCTAGCTACCCCTTGTCAGCCCCCACCCTGATGCACAGGGGACTGCCGTTTGACGAGAGGTGTGTGTGTGTGTGTGTGTGTGTGTGTGTGTGTGTGTGTGTGTGTGTGTGTGTGTGTGTGTGTGTGTGTGTGTGTGTGTGTGTGTGTGTGTGTGTTTGTGTGTTTCAATCCGCGGACCCAGGGGTCCCGACCACTTCCCCAGGGATCGTTTTGTGGCGGCTCCATTTCTAATGTTATGTCGGATGTGTCCCCCTACAGGCGGATTTTGGACGAAAAATTTTAACTACCCCAAACATATTCAAACATACTCACAAAAGTGATAGAAAAATCATCCCCAGAGCATTCTTTGAGAATGTTTGAAGATCCCTCCTGTAAAGGGACAGCCCGACTTACTTCTAATGACCCCGGGGCCCGAAGACGGAGCCGCTGGAAACCGACGTCGAGGAAGCAATTGCACCACCGCCCGACAACAGCCATATCTCGTCTGGGATCGCAGCCTCGCGACGATCCCCGCGCGAGTGGTCAGCTGGCCACGGGAAGGGCCGCGCGGACCTGCCCACGTCCGACCCTGCCGATGGCGGGGGCACAGATGATGGGCCTGCTTTCCACCACCACCACCATAAGTTGGAGGGGGAGGGGGTCCTCCTCCTCCTCCTTCTCCTCCTCCTCCTCCTCCTCCTCCTTCTCCTCCTCGTCGTCCTCCTCCTCCTCGTCCTCTTATGGTGGTGGCGGTGGTGGAAAACACGCCCATCAACAGAGCCCCGAATCCTCAAGGGTCGCGCCTCGGGGGCCCAAACTGGAGTTGCCCTGGACATGAGTTATCTCGAATGCTACCCTTCAGTGAAACCGCCCCTGGGCTAGACCCAGCGGGAACAGGGCCGCAAACACTGCAGCCGCACCACCCTCTGGAAGACCGAGGGAGGGGCAACTCGCTCATCGACTTGGCAGGGCGTGGGGGTTTTATCAGCCTCCGGTGCTCGCAAGCTGCCAGACCACCCCCTGCTGGGGAGCCCCAAAGCTGCCGCAGCGCCTCCCGGGGTTGCCCGGGAACGCCAGCGAAGGCCATCGCAGCAGACTCGGACCCCCGTTCCAGCAGCAGCACGGCGGGCCCACGGCAGCGCCACGGCGGGAAATGGGCCACAGCGCGGAGGCCGCGCCCCGCACACCGACCGCGACGACGCCGAAAACCTGCCCTTTCCTCCGCCTCTGCCCCCCGCTGAGGTACTGAGGCGCTGACGGCAATGGAGGCTTCAGACGCCGCGGCTTCCCCCAGGGAGACGGTCGGGCCCCCCTGGGGTAGTATACCAAAAGACAACATTACGGGCAGAGGCCACGCAGACGGGAGGAAGGGGGAGGGGGAGGAGCATCAACAGATCATAACATCATAACCTCAGGGATAAGGAAGAGGAGGAAATCAGATGCGGCAGCGTGGCGGCGGCAATACGGGGTGGCGTGAAGCCCGAGGGCCTGTGTTGGGTCCCCCCCCTTCGGGTAACGGAAAGAGCGAGGCACGAGTGATGACTTTCTGGTGTGGGCGAAGCCCTAAAGGGAGGGGTTCCATGGGGAGGGGGGTACGGGGGACAAATGAGTGTTAATGGGCGTTGGGTTTTTGTTTCCCCCCTCGGGTTTTTGCATGTTGTTCTGATTTCTCCTCTTTTCCGTCCCGGAAGAGCCCAAGACCGCCCAAGACACCCTCAAGACGTCCCAAGAGGCCCCCAAGAGGCGCCCAAGGGGCGTCCCATGAGGGCCCCAAGAGGCCAAAATCATAGACTTTCCATGGAAAACATATTGTTTTAGCATTTACGGCTTTTCGCCTTTCACGGCGTTGACGACGGCCCAAGAGGCCCCCAAGGCCGCCCCAAGACGGCCCAAGAGGCTCCCAAGAGGCTCCCAAGAGGCCCCCAAAACGGCCCAAGAGGGCCGCCAGACGGCCCAAGAGGCGCCCAAGACGGCCCAAGGGGTCCCCAAGACGGCCACAAGAGGGGGACCACGAACCGAAAAGTCTAGCCTATCGCCCCCAGACGCTCCCGGGAGGCCTTCACAGCCCCCCAAGAAGCCCCAAGAGGCACCCAAAGAGGCGTCCCAGGAGGCCAAGAGGAGGCCAAACTCATAGATGTTCGATTGGAAAACGTACATTTTTAGCATACACGGCTTTTCGGCTTCCACGGCGTTGACGACGGCCCAAGAGGCCCCCAAGACAACCCCAAGACGGCCCAAGAGGCTCCCAAGAGGCCCCCAAAACGGCTCAACTGGCCCGGCTTGGCTGGCGCCCTGGAGGGTGCCCCTGCCTCCCCCCCTCCCCCGTCTGAAGTGCCCAGTGAGGTCTCCCGTCGAGTGAGGTGACGGTGAGAAGAGTGCGCGAGGCAGAGTTGAAAGAGTGGCAGGGTGAAAAGAGTACAGTGTGACGAGTGCGCGTGGCAAAATCAAAAAGCTAAGAAGCAGGCTGAGGGTGGAAAGAGCCAGCGTGGGTGAAAAGGCTGTAAGCGAGGGCACTGCGCAGGGATGTGAAGGTGGCGGTGGAAGTTGAAAGGTGAAAGTGGCAACGCGGAGAATGTTCCGCGGGGCCCACTTTGGGGTTCCGCTCGCAGCGGGGAAGAGCCCAAGGGCCACGGCCCGCGGTGAGTCGGAGCCCCCTCCCGCCCGTGCATGCCGACCCCCTCCCCACCACCAGAGGAAACGGTTGAGGAGGTTACATGGGAAAGGTGGGGGGCACGGGGCTGCGAGAAGGTGGGCCGGTAGGGAGTGGAGGTTGGTAGAGCGCTCATACGCTGTGGATGGGCATGCCCCTCGGGGACCCATGCGTCTCTTGTAGTAATGACGCACTCAAGTGGGTGAGAAAGCCCCATGGGGACCCACGATGATCGTAGTCGCCACTGACATCCACGCTGTAGAACTGCCGTAGACAGGGCCGAGTCCCATACCACCAGCTGTGCTGCTTCCGTCTTACAGTGAGTGCGCACGTGTTGGTCAAAAGGAGGACGCCGAGCTAGGAGTGGGTGGGTAGCAGCTGGCGGTCCTGTCGGCTATGAAGCGAATGAGGTATGTGAGGATGTAGCGCGCTGGCTGGCCGAGGTTACACCGGTCCGATCGGGAGGGTTGTCTCGCGTTGTGGGCGATCAGGAAAGAGTCTTCTGATTCGCCGTAGTTTAGTCGTGCTGGTCGGGCTGGCTCGCATTGACGGCGTCTGCAAAGGTTGGCCATGGTTTCCACGGGTCGGGGCCGTAGACTGGGAAAGAATCCTTGTCCGTCTCCTGCTGGTTGCCGTGGTGGGTGATGCCGTGGTGTCCCCGCTGGGATGTGACCGGCTTCCATTCGTGGGGCATGTGGGATACATCCCGATCTATGTTATGGTCCGTGATCGTGCTGCGGATCGTAGCAGCGGTGTTGGTTTCGTAGTGGGTCGTGTGCTGCTGCGTCTGGTGTGGCCCTTGATGGTGCTGTGCGGTGCTGCTCCCTTCGTTTTTGTCCGCGGTGGTCGTGGTCCACTGGGGCTGTACCAAGTTGGCGTTGTTGGTCTGCCCCACTGCCTTCGGTCCTGTCGTCTGTGGCAGTTGGTCCAGCTGTCGAACTGTGAACAACGCCAGCTGGATGCCTCGCCTGGAGCGGACTGACTTGCGCTGCTTGCAGAGTCTGAAGCCCATGGTGGCGAAATAGCCATTGAACTGTGATGTGAGCTGAGCAAGTCCTCGGCTGCGAAGACTTGAAGCAACACCCTTGTGAAGGCACAACGGGATCGTGCCCGACGGTCCAGGAGGGCCCTGGCCAGATGGATGAAAGGGGCGTTCTGGTCACGGTCGCGCATCAGCTCCGTATGGTGGGCGGGCGAGGCGCGTGTGGCTGCGGACCCGTGGAGGTTCGCGGCTGCCTGGCAACTGCACTCGAAACCTCGGGCCGGGACGGCGGCTAGTAGGATGAAAGAGCAGGGAGGAGGAAGCAAGGATCAGTGCAGGACCTTCTGCTGAACTGGATCGCCCCACAGTCAGCGCGACGTCATCGCGACAAGCGAAAGAAGGGGCGCTCGGGATGCTCGCGCGGCCAGACCTCCGGAGACGGGGGGCGACGGGGAGGAGGCAGGAGGAGTATGTAGCCTCCCCCACAGACCGCACGCGGAATCGGAATCCCTCGAAATCTCACCGTACGGTCCGTCACCGCACCATTTTGGGACACAGGAAGCCCCAGTCGCCCGAGACGTCCTCGCAGAACGACCCAATTCCCCCAAAACGTGCGGCCACCCCAAATCTCCACGGATTCGGCACATTGTGGACACCGCACCGCTTGCGGGCCCCCTGGGCCCTCAGACCGATACCGCCAACTACTCCCTGGACCTGTCCCCGGGGCGCATCCCGACCAGTGGCCGCAGCGACGAGGGGCGGGAGAGCGGCACTGGCATTCCCGTGCTTCGAGTAGGGATCGACTACAGAATTGATTTGCCCAGAATTAGGTGTCTCGTCGACTCGATGGAAAATACCTCGAATTCTCAGTACACGGACGAAGACGGTACGCATTCGTTGTAGCTTCGCTGGGGGAAATCAAGTTTGGGATACATCCATTCTGTAGTCGATCCCCTGCAGTCGGGCTGCTGAAAGAAGGAACGATAAACAAGGAACGAAGCCCCTTTTTGGCCCCACAAGCGCCTGCGTGCACGAGGAAGGCTAGAGGAAAAGCCATAGAAGGACCTAAGGAATATCGAGCCCCTTTCTTACCCAAACTGTTCCTTCTTTCAGCGAATAGTGCTCCTGACCTTCCTGCTCCTCCCCCCTCCCTGGGCTCACCACGCCCCCGCCTCGGGGGACCTCTGGCGGCGGGCGCCCGGTCCTGGCCGTGGCACTTCCTGATCAGCTCCCTGCGGCGGAGCACGCGTGCAAGGGCTTCACAGCGCGAGTTGGACGAGGACTTGGACGAGGAGGACGAGGAGGAGGAGGAGGAGGAGGAGGAGGAGGAGGAGGAGGAGGAGGAGGAGGAGGAGGAGGAGCAGGAGAAGGGGGAGGGGGAGGGGGAGGAGGAGGAGCAGGAGGAGGAGGAGGAGAGGAGGAGGAGGAGGAGGAGGAGGAGGAGCTGCGCGCGCTTGGGAGAGCACGGAAGACTCAGCTGGCCGACGCAGCCGGGAAACTCCAGCACGGCGTGGGGCGCAAAGGCGGCTCCAACGCATTGGTAAAGAGCCTGCAGGCCCTGGCGGAAGCCCGGCCGGACGCTACATTCATCAAGGTGGATGCAAAGGCCGCTTTCCAACGGATGCGGCGAGGGCCGGCTCTCGAGGCCATGGGCGAAGCTGTCCCTGAGGTGGCGGCGGCCTTGAGGGTTTGGTACTCGGGCCCGGCGGAGCACTACTGGCGCACGGCCGACGGGCGCTTCGAAACGGTCCAGAGCCAGCGCGGGTTCGACCAGGGCGACCCCCTGTCCCCTGCGGGCTTCGCCGTTGGGCAGCGGCGCGCCCTGGAGCACCTTCTCCACAGGCTGCAGCAACTGGACCCGGGCGCCCGCCTGTATTCCTACCTGGACGACAGCTACCTGGCGGTGCGGGCGGACCTCGGAGTCCTGGCGCTGGCGGGCCTGCGCGAGCTGCTCGCGCCTTTGGGGCTGGAGCTGAACGACGACAAGACGCTGGTCTGGTCTCCCGCGGGGATCCAGGCTGTCCAAGCCGAGCTCGCCCCCAAGTATGTGGCTGTGCTCCCAGTCCTCGGCGCGCAGCTCAGGGCGCCCGGAGACGCCGACGGCGCGGCGCTCCCGCTCGGCGGACAGGGCTGCGGGCTGGACGGGGCCACGGAGCGACTCGGGAAGCTCTGGGCCGGCCTCGAGCGACTGCTGAAAGGAGGGCTCAAGAAGCAGGCTGCGGGCGCGCTGCTCAACACCTACGCCGGCAACGCCAACCAGGACCACCTGCAACTGGCCCTGGCCTCGGCGGAGGAGACCTTCCGCTACGACACCGCCTGCTGCGACGGCCGCTGGGCCCGGAGGCGAGCGAGCTGCTGGGGCTGCCGGCTAAGCTGGGTGGGGCCGGCGCGCAGTGGGCTGCCACGAGACGCGCGGCGGCGTGCTGGGCGGCCTGGACGCAGGCTGCCGCGGAGGTCCAGCACGACCTGGGCATCTCCGGCGTTTCCACCCTCGGAGAAATGCTGGCGGCCCTGCCACAGGCCGCGGCCGCGCTGGAGGCGACGCGGGCTGAGCTGGCGCGCCAGGGCGCTGACCCTGAGCCCGCGGCGCCCCTGGAGGCCTTGCTGGGCCACCCGACCAAGCAGAAGACCTTGGTTGCTATGGTGCATAAGAGAACCCACGCTGTTAGAAAGCAGCGAATGCACCACTGCAGCCAGGCGGCGCTGCTCTCTGCCGGGGGGCCAGGCGCTGGGGCTTACTTGAAGTACCCCGCGGAGCTGGCCTGCACTAGTGGAGGACCCTCACTGGGAGACCGCGACCCGGCGCCGGGTCCAGCTGCCGCGGCCCGAGTGCGCCGCCGACGAGCTGGCGCGAGCTGCGGCGACTTGCCAGAACCTGACAGCCGGGGGAGCCCCATGTCAGGCGCCGCTGGGCGAGGCTGGCTTCCACGCCGCGATCTGCCAGCCCGGCGGAGGAGTCGTCAAGCGGCACCAGGGAGTGGCGCGCGCCGTGGGCAGCCTCGCTGGCAGGTGGGGCCACTGCGGCGGGTGCCCACGTGGGACAGGGCCCGCGCGCCGCGGCGAGGACAGCGGGCGGTCCTGGAACGGGCCATCCTGGACGTCGAATACGACGATGTCGACGGCAGGAGGTGGCTGGACGTGACAGTCCGCCATCCAGCGGCCGGCGACGAGCCCGCCGTGCGCGCCGGGCCGAGCGCGCCAAGCACGCGCGCTACCCGGGCGAGCGCCTGACGGCTTTCGCCCTGGAGACGGGCGGCCGCCTCGGCGCAGAGGCGCGGGACTGGCTCTTGAGCCACGTCCGCGAGCTCCCGGAGGACGCGCAGCCGGAAGAGCTGGCGCGCGCCTGCCGGGTGCTCAGCTGCGCGCTGCAGCGGGAGCTGGCGCAGCAGCTGCGGCGCGCGGCCGGGCTGCGCTGAGGCTGCTCTGGGGCTGCGGCCTAGGCCTGCTGCAAGGCGCTGGGCGGCTGCTGCGAGGCGGCGCTGCTATGCGGGGCGCGGGGCGGCTGGGCTGGCGCGGGGCGCCGGGCCGCGGCCGGCGGCGCGGCGGCGAGGCGCGCTCTGGCTGGGGCGCAGCGGGGGGCGGCGCTAGCCGGCGGCGCCGCTGCAAGCTGGAGGACGGCGGGGGACGACGCCAACGCCAGCACCATCCTCCTGGTCGCCGTGGCGGTCCCGGGTATGCTCTCCAGAGGCCCTGGCCGGCAGACCCCTCCCCCCTGGGAGTGACCGCCGTCTGTGACTGCCGGTCACCCCCGGGGGAGCCGTCCTCATTCCGGGGCGGCGGAGGGTTCTGCCGGCTCCCGATCAACGAGCACCGGGGCGCGCGGCAGACTCGCGCGCGCCGCTGGAGGAGGAGGAGGGGGGAGGGGGAGGAGGTGGCACGAATTGGAGGAGGGCGGAGCCTTTCGGATATTCGGATATCTGCACCTGCCCAACGTCTTCATATTTCTTGTTCGTGCAGGGCCGCTCAGTGGCCGTCCTTGGCGCAGGCATCCAGCAGGCGCGTTCGCGTGCGTCCTGCTGGCCGGGGTGTCACGCCCCCGCGCTGTCAGTGCAAGGCTGCCTGGCCATTCATGGGGTCAGGGCAGTCTGCTGGGCCGTTCAGTGGCCGTTGTTGGCGCAGGCATCCAGCAGGCGCGTTCGCGTGCGTCCTGTCTGGCCGGGGAGTCACGCCCCCGCGCTGCCAGTGTGCGAGTGCCTTGCCATTCAGGGACCTGGGCAACTTGGGCCGCTCAGTGGCCGTTTTCGGGCGCAGGCAACCAACGGCGCGTTCAGTGCGTTCGTTGGTCGGGGAGTCACGCCCCCGCGCTGCCAGTTGATTTACATAGTACATGTGTTCGGTCTTCAGCTGCCCATGGCTGCTTCAGCTTGCCGTCGCGTCTCGTTCAGGTTGAGACAACGCTCTGGGGGGCGACATGCGCTTCCCACCCGCCCACCCCGAGATTGGTCAGTTCGATCTCCTGCGTGGGTTTCTGATCTCGGACCCGCATTCCCGAGGCGCTGCCGGCACGGAGTGAGTGGGGGACGTATGGGGGGGTGTAAGTTCCATCAACCCCGTCCCCCTTGAGGTCTGAGATTTCGGGTTGCCCCCTCGATGCTGGGGGATAAGATAGCATCGGAGAGTCGAGGGAAGGGCAGATAGGAGGAGGAGGAGGATGAGGAGGAGGAGGAGGAGGAGCAGGAGGAGGAGGTCGAGCGTGCCTAAAGAGGGATCGCCTCGAGAAGCCTCAGCGCTGAGCCCACAGAAACTCGTTTGGTCCCCAGAGGGGCATCTTCATAGCAATATTCACGCCCTCGGCCAAGGAGGCGATCTCAGATGGACGCACCCCCCTTCCTAGGGGACCTCTGTGGGCTACCAGGCGGTGGCAGTGGAAGTACGCAACTACGAAAGCAAAGTTGCGCGGGTGAGTAGGCGAGATGAGGCCCAGGCGGTGGAGAGGGTAAGAGGGGACCTCCTTACCCAGAGCCTCTGCTACGATGCGCTCCGCGCACGGGCATTCGTTCACGTAGTGGGTCAGGGTGTCGGGTGCTCCTGGGCACCCCATGATGCACCCTCCTTGGGGCCTCCGCATCCTGGGAGATGTAGTCCAACCCTCTAGCCACGTCTTGAGCGCAGCGGAGCACCACGCGTGTGGGAGTGGCCCCATATCTGCACGAACTCTGGCCACGAGACGACTGAGCACAGGTCGGGCACGAACCACTTACGAGTCCGAGCCTCGAGCGTTGTGGCGAGGTCCGGGGGGTACAGGGCTTGCGCGAAAAGCTGCGTGAGGCGGCGCTGTAGGCCGTGCCGCGTGCGCGAGGCGGTGGCGGGGCGGAGGGAAGGGGAGGGGGAGGAAGGAGGAGGGGGCGGAGGAGGAAGGAGGCGGCGGCACTCACGGCCCGCCGCCTGCAGGCGCGGGTGATGCCGGAAGCCCAGCGCAGCCTCCTCAAGTCTCCACGCTAAAGCTGGGGAGGCCCAGTGCGGAGGCGCCAGCCGCTCCGGCGCGCGCCAGCCCAGCATGCCGCGCTCCCGGAAGGCCCCGCGAAGCTTGGGCAGCATCTCCCGCCACGACGTGGCCGTGCATGTCGCTGTCCTCCTTCGCGCCGCAGCTGCCATGGCCAGCATGCTTGGGAACTTTGGTCCTCCCCACGCGCCGAGTTCCAGCCAACCCGCATGGCTTGCGATGCTCGGCGTGGTGCGCCAAAGGGAAGCAAAGAAATTGCGCTCCCGCTCCGCTGTTGCCCACGGCACGTCGTAGAGCTGCACATTGTAGCCCAGCACGGGGAGCCCCTTGGTCGTGTAGTAGGTTGCGCAGCCCAGCGCGTCCGCGCCAGACCCGGCTATCTCCTGGACGCGCTGCTTAAACTTGGCCAGCGGCTCCGCCAGGTGCATCTCCTCAGTAGCCGCTGGGCCAAGCCAGCAGCCCAAGTAGAGGAGGACAGGCTCAATGACGAAATCGCCCCAGCTGCGTTCGGCCGCCGCCAGAATGGCGCGCGCGCGCGGCGCTCGACCAGCTCGCCAAGGACCTCGCCCAGGAGCACAACGTGGCATTTCGAGGCCTTGAGGACCAGCTGCGCGAAATGCTGGGCGCTCCGGAAGATGCGGGCCATGCTCGCGACGGCCTGGGAGCAGAAGAGCACGGCTCCCACGTCGTCTGCGCATGCCCGGACTGCTCTGAGATGCTTGTGCTCTACAGCCTGCTCCATGTGTAACAGGAAAGGGTTGCACGACACCAGGAACACTGCACCGCTGAATGGGCATCCTTGTAAGACACCTGACAGCATAGCATACAGCGGTGAATCCACACCGCCATCGCGGAACCAACTGAAATTGAACATGTACAGGCCGTGCACGAGGCGCCGGAGCCCCTCGGGGACCTGCAGCTGCCGCAGGCATTGGTGCAGCCACGCCTGCCGTACACTAGGAAACTCCTGCTGGAAGTCGTAGGCGACCAACATCGGCAGCCAATCGGCGGGCAGGATGTTCCACTTCGCGAGCGGCTCCCGAAGAAGGCTCCCCACCCGAGCCATTGTGTCCAAGTCCACGAGGTTATTTATCAGCGAGCGTCCCCGGACAAACCCATTCTGGATTTTGGCCGTGGTAGTTTTGGTCACGGTGGCGAAACACCCATTGGCGACCCCTGCGACGATCTTGTTCGACGTATTCTGCAACCCCAGCGACCGCGTGTCCTTGGCTGAACACACCCCTGTGCCCTCCTCTGCCTGGCATCCCTTAGGCAAGGACACACCTAAGCAAGCCGTGAAGGCCAGCGGCATGGTGCTGTCACCGCACAACCAATGCAAGCAGTCGAGGAGGACCAATGGCCCGCGGGCCACGGCCCAAGCATCGTAGAGCAGGCTATCTGGCCCTGGCGCCGAGCACTTGACCTTGCCAAGGAACTCCTGGATCATGCGGCACGTCGGCGGCTGTAAATCTAGGAAAGAAATGTCCGGGGTAAACGGCACTCGAGCGCTGAAATACTGGTGCCCAGGAGGGCACAGGAGGAGGGCACAGGAGGAGGAGGAGGAGGAGGAGGAGGAGGAGGAGGAGGGGGAGAAGAGGCAGGAAGGAGGGAGGGGGGGGGACGAGAGAGGAGGGGAGACGAAGGCCCGTCTTCAGTCGCACCCCCCCTCCCGGGAGCGGCGCGGAGGACGCACGCGCCCGGGAGCAGTGCCCGCCGAGGAGATCGGAGGGAGGGAAGGCGCAAGCTCAGACCTTGGCGCGGCCCATGGAACGGCTCCCCTGAGATCCGACGCGGCGGATCAACCTCGGGCTCGCGAGACAACTCGCGACCAAACCCTCGACCCGAGATTGCGGCAACGGGGGCACCGCTGGGGACGCCCCACCTCGTCGCCTCGCAAGCGAGGACGACGAGCGGGCAATTCCCTACGAGTCGGTGACCCGCGCGGGCGCAGCATCATGGCAACGTCGACAACGGCAGACACGCTGATGATAGTAGCGGTGTGGGTGCCGGTGATGCTGATGAAGATGACAAGGCACGTGACGGCGCCGATGATAATCACGCCGAGGAAATTGGTGGTGCCCACGCAGCGGCGATGAACGTTTTGGGAAGATTTCGACATGCGCGTGCGGCCGACGGGCGCAACTGGCCTGCATGGTATTATTCGACAAGGATCGGGCCCCCCCTTGCCCCAGCAAGCGCGCAAAAGGCGTTCCAATGCTCCCGACATGCGCGCGCGAAAAGCACGGTTGCTCGCATGTGGTGATCCTGCTTGAAAAACCTATGGTTGCACCAAAGACTCGCAAGAACGTGCGCACATATCTGTTTGAACCATCATGTTGCAAAATCGCTGCTGTTTCATATGTTGTCGGGAAGCTCAAGCATGAAATCCTTACAGGAACTATGCTTTAGTGCGGCGGCGCGCTAGTATCGCCTTCCTATCACATGTTGCAAAGGAAATGGGGGAAGTGGCAAATTATTGATGCATGCGTGCGCGCGCATAATACTATCTGACCAGGATGGAAAGGGGGCGAAAGACAACAACTCCCTGGGGTGGTATGGAGTAAGGCTTCACATCTAAAATGAACGACAGGGCCGAACCATATGTAAATCGCACGATCCAAAAGGGAGAGTGGTAAATTTGGGAGGGGGGTAGATCCGAATGCCCTTACGCTAGAATCGATATGGTATGTGGTGCGGTCCTTGTTGCGGCGGCGGGGCTGCGACGGGGCGGCAACGGCGAACACATAGCAGTCAGACCGCCAGGCAGGCCCAGACGACGGGCGGCGACGAGGTGGAGACAGGGCGGCGACGGCGGCTATCTGCGCGCGCGCACTTCCCCATCACCCTCAAGACCGCCATCGCATCACCGCCGTCATCGTCATCGTCGATGGCCGCCAGCGCCACCATCATCATCACAACCAATTTCACCACCGACAAATCGTCATCATCATCATCATCGTAACCGTCGTGACCAATCTCGGCGACATCAATGGCCTTGCCGTCGTGATCGCCGTCATCGCCACAACAGTCACTATTATCATCATCGTCGTCAGGGTGGTCGGCTTCATCATGACATCGTGCCCGCCCGTGTCACCAACCCACAATGAAGCGACCCCGCGCGAGCGCGGGTTTCGAGGCGTGCTGGGGGGTGTCCCATCGGCAAGCGCCATCGCGGCCGCATCAGCTGTGCCAAACCATCTGGTCGCTCGCCAGCGCGGCCGTAGAGACACGCTAGCAAGTACCAATATGTAGCCGCAATCGTGGCCGAATAGATGTTGTCAACAGGTATGCGCGAACAATGGTTTGACGATCTACAAGCTTTCCATCACTTGCACCACATAGATCGCACCTCATTGGTCGCATCTAGCAGATTGCACAACATAGGGTGCACATCGAGAGTACAAGAACTCACTGCTCGGGGCCACCGCTGGCACACATGATCCCTGTTGCCAGGGTTAAGGGCTAAAGTGATGATGCGATGGCAGCGCAACACAGACAGCCACCGATACCAAGTCCAGCTGGACGCGTGCCCAAATGGATCTGGAAACGCACTGCATCTGGCTCGAGGTGACCGTCATACATAAACCTTGATCTGGCGTCACACAACCAACGAACAATGTGCCATTCCACCCGTATGATTATCTCAACAATTGTCCGGGATTTGGCACAACAAATATACATCCTCGAATCCTGACGTCATCGAAGCCGGCTCAGGCACGGCCCATTACCAATACAAGAAAAGCGGCGCCTTATCTGGTCACATTCCTCGGGTGAGGCAAAGTCCTTCACTACCAGCACAAGCCTGGGCAATCTATTTTCTATAGTGGGGCATTCCGCACGCGATCGAACGCATCATGGCGATGACGTGTCGAGCTGCCGTCTTCTCAAATTGGCCAACATTGGCCATGCGCATGAAACCGACAATGGACCTGCTTCCGCGTGGGCACCGATTGCGGAACGGGCACCTCTGCTTCTCTCATCGTCCCCTACACCTCCCCATGCCCTCCACGTGATGCCAATGTGTTGGCGCGCTTGGGTCCAGAATCGAGCACCCCCCAGCACGAGATAACGCTCCACACAACATGGGAAGAACGAGCACTTGCTGAGCAAGGCTCTGGGCGGTGAGCGCTGCGAACGGTTGCGAGGCCGTTCCAACAAAAACAAGCATGACCCAAGAGTTAAAAAAAGACAGTCAGTAGAGGGGTTGATAATCCCACCAGCCCTCTGGGCGTAGGTGGTCTAGAACAGATCCTCTTCCACCCCTCCCTCTTCCCCCTTGGGGAGGGGTTTACCCCTCCCCCTACCCCCTCCCCTGGACCTCGACGGAGGGTTTCGCGAGCGGTCGGGCGGCTCTTTTGGCCCCAAGATGGCTTCAAGAGCGCGTCAGAGAGCCCAAGATGAGCTCCAAGATGACTCAAGATAGCGCAAAATCGCTCGAGATGGCTCCCAAGATGTTCCAAGAGGCCCACAGACGGCCCCAAGACGGCTCCACGTGGCCAAAGAGCTCCCCAAGGAGGCCCCGAAGATGCCAAAATCGTCCCAAAACCTTAAGGACATCAATGTTGTTTGCTTTCTCCCCGTTTCGCTTCCGATGGCCATCCGAGGCCTGAAAATGACTCCAAGATGGCCCAAGAGGGCCCCACAAGAGGCCCAAGAGAGCCCCAAGACGGCCCCAAGAGCGCCCAAGAGCGCTCCAAGAGCGCCCCAAGAGCGCCCCAAGAGGCGATGTTTGGAGCTCCTGAGGGGGGAGGCTAATTAGGGAACCCCCCCTCGTTGATCGATCTCCTCCAAGGTGGCCCCAAGAGCGCCCCTACAGCCCCCAAGAGCGCCCCAAGAGCGCCCCAAGAGGCGCCCAGACGGCCCCAAGAGGCGCCCAAGAGGCCTCCAAGAGGCTCCCAAGAGACCCCCAAGAAGCCTCAAGAGGATCTCCGACATGCATTTAAGACGCTTCTGGCTCTTCGGTTCGCCGTCCTCTTCAATTTCTCATCCCCCTCTTCCTCCTCCTCCTCCTTCTCCTCCTTCTCCTCCCTCTGCTCCTTCTCCTCCTTCTCGTCCTCCTCGTCCTCTCCCTACTCCACATCCTCCTCCTCATTCTCGTCCTCCTCCTCCTCCTCCTCTTCCTCCCCCTCCCCCTCCGACGAGGATTCCTTCTCCATCCTCCCCCTCTGGGGTACGTGACAGCTTCCCCCGCCCTTTGTTATTCTGCATGCTCCCCGACTTCCCTGATCACCTCAACTCCCCTGGGCATCGTTTCTGGATGGGCTGGTAGGGTTCTTTTCTTTTTACAGCCGCAGGCGGAAGCGCCGGCGGCGAGGGGTCACGGTCGGGCTGCGGCCGTGACGAATTACCCGGGCGCGCGCGGGGGCCGCGGATCAGGCGGCGGGGCAAGCAGCAACCCAGGGCGTCTGAGAGGCCAGGCGGTCGTGCAAGCTGCAATCCAGGGAGTCTGAAGGGTCAGTCACCCAGGAAGCCTTCGGACGCGGCCAAAATGGCGCGCCGTACATTCCCAGTCATGGGTCGTGACAACCTACAACCGCATGGTGGTGGGAACCAAACTCCGTGCGAGAAAGTCAGCCCAGGGTGTCTGTCGGGTATGAGCAGACCGAAAGCGTAGCTGACGTCGTCCAGCAAGGAGAAGAATTCTGACAGCGCCAGCGAACCGTCGCAGCTTCAGAATACGCATCCGCGGCTGACAGAGTGAGCCAGAGGTCAAAGACAACTGGGGCAACCTCGAAACAACTGCTGAGAGATGCGCCTGCACGCAGGAGACCAGAGATATGGTGTGCCGCAATGCACAAGTACACGAGTACCCACCTGGCGAGGGACACACGGTCAATCGGAAGTGGGCGTGTACCAACCGACTAAGTGACAAACCAGCGCCTCGCAACCCACGCAAAGCCAGGTCGAGGAAAGCGCTCGTAGAGGAAGGAGCTGCCGTATACCCACGTCAGCAAGCCCTTCACGGTCACAGAGTCCCAGGGAGTGGTCGCACAACGAGGTTGCGCGTGGGAGCGACGATAGGGAGACCGAGTGCCCGTCACACGCCGAGACCGTGCATCACTGTCCACAGGGTGGCACAGCACGGCCAACAGTGGGAGGCAGCACAACGGGGTCACGTCAGCGACCCAGTCAGAGTACGGTGCAAGCGGACTAGGTGGGCATTCCGCCACCACGGCGGGGCGACCCACGTCAAAGGACTGCCTGTACACCACGTGACCCAAGGACGAGGGTCCGAGCCCAGTGTCGCTCCCAGGAAAGGTAGAGATGCACGGCTGAAGGCCGTAGTAACTTGGGAAGCCCAGGGAGTAGGAGGCGCAGATCTGGGCATGACGGGGCGAAAACCACCAGGTCGTCGGTCTCAGAGCTGCGTGCCAGGCAGAGCCTGGCAAAGTGAAAACAGCTACAGCGGGGCCAAGGGCCACTATGGCCACACGCAACACGGGATTGCAATGCGGACGGTATTGCTGGCACACACATTTGGATCCAAAGGCAGGAAGTGCACGTACCAGGAGGGGCGGCAGGATGCCGCCAGGCGGGTCTGTCGTCCAAGGAGCAGCTGGGGCCGCTGTTTGATAGAGAAACCCAGGGATTATAAGCGCGTCTCGGGAGTGGACCTCGGTCGGTCCCGAAGCAGCATAGCCGAACACAGGACCACTCGGGCCACAGGCGAGAACCACTACAGCGGGGCCAGGGGCCAACTAGGGTCTGCGCGCTGCGCTCCCCCGCGCAGCGAAGCAGATGGTATTGCTGGTCGACACACTTGGGTCCAAAGGCAGGAAGTGTGTGTGAACCAGGGAAGGAGGCAGCGAGGCTGCCACACGGTTGAGAGAGAACGGGGGGCGGCTGAAGGCCGCTCACAGTGTGTAATAAGGTTGACCTCTCTGTCCACCTAGGTGGCGGGATGGGTGGGAAGGGAACTCAGTCTCCCCATCGCTGCCTCTTCTCGCCACGCTCGTCAGGTCTGCCTCCACCACGCTTGCCTCCCGTCTGCCAACGGTCGTCGTGCCAGCCGTCGCTCTAGTCGCTCTGCCAGCTGCCCCAGGTGTCCCAGGAGCTTGTCGCTCGGTCGCTCGGTTGGGCTGGTGGGGATACGCGAAGCGTCAACAATTTGGACGTTGGACGCATCTACGTATACAACTCAAACGTCTGGACGTATAAATGTAGATATATACACACAGCCCAAACGTACGGACGTATGTACGGCTCCATATATGGACGTATGTGTGGACGTATGCGCGGACGTGTATATATAGATATATGTGTGTATGCACGTATACACATGTACAGGCAACCAGATACTGGGAGCCCGGGAACCCAAGCAACTGCACGCTGCCCGAATACATGGCACCAAGGACCGGCAATTTGGGAACCCAGTCGCCCACCGAGACCAATCTGGAATCCGGAAACGGGAACCCGGAACCTTTTGCTAGATCCCTACAGTGCAAACACTGATTGGGGAACAACCCCGCCACAGTGTAATCTTCACTGCTGGTTTTGCGTCTGGGCTCGTGCGTGGTATCTCCGGGTGCTCCAACAAGTTTCATGTGTCTCCATGCGCCTCACTGAAAACATGTGCAGTGCTAGGCGGCTTGTAACGTGCACAAACGCGGGCGCGCAACCGACAGCGACTGCGAGCAAGGACGAACGAACGAGCGCTCAGCACGTTCGTGCGAGCGAGGGCGAGCAGAACACTGTAAGCGTGCGTGAACGCGTGAGGCTGTTCGGTTGAGGTCTCTCCCTTCCGCACGCCGTCCTCAACGCAGCTCGGCCTATCCACTCTCCAGGAAGATTTCCAATACTATGTTCGCTTAATGTATATATTATATCGCGAGTGTTGTGTCACATCGCCAGCGGGGGAAAAAAGGATGCACGCAAGCATGGGCATGTGTACGCAAGTGCTGGGAGCACTGCGCTGCGTAAACCAATGGTGGACTCGCATTGAAAAAGCGCGTGTGTTAGCGACTGCGCACGCATCTCAGCGAGCGCTAGCAACCGTAGTGGGACAGTGCCCACCCGTCTAGCAAGTGCCAACAGTTCAAGGCAGTGGCCGTGATGTTTGCGCATTGGCTACATTACGAAAATTTTGACTAGTACGCAGGCAAGCGACCGAACGCGTTACCCGCCAATGTGACACCGGCACGCTAAGGCACGCTATACTGCCGAGTACTGTCTGTAGGGCTTCTGCAATGCAAACCCGCGCTCTCGGGGATAAAGGGGGGTGCACCCGAACCCCAAAAATTATCATTTTCCAAATGAGAACTCTTATTGGGGAGCCTTTTTCTCGCGGCTGGGCCCTCCCGCCCTGTGTCGGGAGCGCCCAGATGGATTTTCACCCCGGAGCCGTTCCAGCGTGAAAATCAATCAGGGACCCCCTCCAATGCAAAACCGCGCTCTCGGTGATAAGGGGTGGTGCACCCGAGCCCCCCAAATGATAATTTTCCAAATGGGATCTCTTTTTGGGGGGCCTGTTTCACGCGGCTGGGCGCTGCCAGTGGGCCCTCCCGCCTGGTGTCGGCAGCGCCCAAATTGATTTTCACATCCGAACCGTTCCAGAGTGAACATCCATCTGGGGCCCCCTCCAATGCAAAACGGCGCTCTCGGGGGTAGTTAGGGGGGTGTACCCGAGCCGCAAGAATTGTCAGTTTCCAAATGGAGTCTCTTATCGGGGAGCCTTTTTCTCGCGGCTGGGCCCTCCCGCCCACGCAGATGGATTTTCACTCCAGAGCCCTTGGTTTTTGCACATCGCGGCGGGCATCCCCCTCCCTCTTAGGCCCGATGGAAGCCCGACACCCCCCCAACGCT